AACGAAATATAAGGAGGGCTCGCGCTTGCTTAGACGCAAAAGGACGTAACTTTCGTCAGTTTATTCGATTTTATTTGTTATATAGAGATTACAATCTCATTAATTTAGCTGTGTTAAAAAGTCTTTATATCTTGCAAAGTTAAAGTGGTAGATTCTTTGGTTTTTTTTTTTTTATTAAGTATATGCAGTTACTAAAAAGTTTGGCATACAGTTGGTCCGCCATTTTTTCAGCATGCTGTATATAGTTTTTTAAATTATTATGGTCTATTTTTTTTATGGATTTTAATAGACCATTAAACTATGATTACACTGATGTAAAACATTTTTTCGGAGTGAAGAAGAGGCTAATTATTATTTACAGCAAATCATAAAGAAATGATCCACTTTTTTTCAAAGCAACACTTTTCTTTATAGCAACGTGATAACAGATTTATTTATAAATAAATATTAAAGTTGCAGTTATTAACATTAGAAAGAGTGACACTTGAAGATTCACTAAATGTTAATGATTTTGAAGAAAATGATTTATCATAAGATTGAAATTCAGAAGTGAAACCAACACGGTTAATTGACATTGAATATGCCTAGGTTTTTTCTGACTTTTAAGTTGCTTTTTAACATTGCATACATATACCAAAGTGTGGATGATTTTATCGTTTTAGCCTGTAACCATATAATAATAATACCACAGACTGTTCTAACAAAAATGTTATTAATAACTACAATAATTGTGTATTTTATTTAAATCAACAATAAATTTTATCCCAATTGTGATTATGTCAAAAAATGTCCACTTATTAATTTCTGTTAGGTTAGTAAGGCGACAAAAATTTCCAGGAAATTTTTTGGTTGCTGCGGTAACAGTCCTAAATTCTATTCTCTTATTGGCTTGTATTTGTGTCGTACGATTTTCAAAACAAGAAATTGTTTGAAGAATTGAAGTCTTTTATTTCAATCATGGAAGAAATTCACAATGTTACGGTGTTACCGTCTGATATACGTGATGAAGCTGCCTTAGCAAGTCGTCATTTATTGCCTGTAAAAACGAGCAGCAGATACGAAAATGAATATTACGAGTTTACAACATGGTGTAAAAGGAAAAACGTCCAAGGTGTGAATGAAGATGTTTTACTTTGTTATTTGTCAGGATTGTCAAAGAATTTTGATCCGAATAAGCAGTATGTCAACCTTACCCTGTACTACCAGCAGCTGTACAGGGTAATGTTGAGTCAGAATGAGAAGACAGAAGAGCAAGAAGTTGCTGGGAAATTTGTAATTCCTGGCAACACTAATTGTTTTTTAGTTTTGGTATTTGTTTTCATGCCAAATAAGTTTTTTTTCTTTAAATGTAGGTATTGTTGTATTTTAGTGTTGAATAAAAATTGTTAATTTTTTGTTGTTGTCAATATAACAGTAGTTGTAAAATTATAACGGCGTAGTCCGTTATGGGCGTCATAACAATATTGAAAACAATCCTGATAATAGACAATAACAGGCAGGTATAACGAAATAGTATTTAACGTTATTAGGCCGATATTAAGCGTATAACAGTCGAGGATAATTGTTTGATAGCCGAGGCGTATAAATATTATCCGAGACTGTTATACGGTTTATCGGCCGTATTTCGTTCACTATTTTTCGTCATACCTAAAACTGGTTAATTAAAAAAATACTCATAAAAACACAAATTCAAGAAACTAATCAGGTAGTCTTAACTTTTTATCCATAGTAACGGTATGTTTATAAACCAAAAATAAAATTTTGACATGTTGCGTAAAAATGTTGCTGTTTGTGAAATTCCCGAAGATATTCGCGATGAAGCGGCTGCTACAAGTTTGGGTATATTGCCTCTGAACACAAGTGTCAGGTATGAAAAGGAATATCAGGATTTTGCAATATGGCGTAAAAAGAGAGGCGTTGAGGGGATTAGTGACGATATTGTGCTCTGCTACGCGTCACAATTGAGGAAAAATTTTTCGCCAAACAGCTTATGGACAAAAATTTCCATGTTAAAGACATACTTGAAATTACATGAAAGTATCGACATTTCTGGGCTAGTATTTGTCATTTTTAGTTACGTCTTATTACTCAAAAGTTACATTTGTTACAGATGTGGAAAACTTTTTATGTTCCTGAAACGCAAATCTGAATTTTATAAACCAAAAAAGGCAAAAATCCTAACAAATGAGCAAATCATCAGATTTCTTCTGGAAATTTTGACTACTTTTTACTGGAGAAGGTTATTTTAATGTTGTACTATTATGTAATTTGTTGAAAAACGTGATCGAATAAATCTGATTAAAAATAATTATTCTATTTTAGAACCATAATCTTATTTATAAGCACCCAAATGCGGGCTTAAATTGGCCTTTTTAGCACAAATCTGTCAAAAATTGCTAAGCAACAATTGATTGTTCATTTACACTAATCAATTAATTATTCAAACACGCTTCGATATTCAACGTTTTTCTTAAGTTGGAAAAATGATATTTTATCAAATCATTACCTGACCGACTTCAAATTCTTCTAAACTTTCGTTTGAATGAACGTTTTCCGCTTCTTTAATTTACATTTTGAAAAACGAATTATCAAATAATCAACGTGGTATCCATAACAACATCAAAATAATAGCCAGCTATGTATTAAAATTCGCATCGGCACAATTCACACAGTCTTGCCGAAAATACTCAATATTTCGTTAAAAATAGTTTAGAAACTAAAATAGAATAAAACGTTGTATGTACCACGTGCATAATTGTCGATTGTGGCACTCGGAAAATTAAAAGCCCTCCTTCGTCGGGCTTTAAACATTCCCTCGTGCCACAATCTAGCTGATTATGCCCTTAATACATAAATAACTATTATATTGTTAAATAAATAACGTTCGCGGCTGTTATTATAACGTCCGTGGCTGTTATCGATGACATAACTTCCATGGAGACACTACGGATATGATCAAATAACAAAGAGGTATGACGAAAAATACATAACAACGTATGTCCGTGAATACTTTTTACAGTATTCGTTTCGAGTTTCAAGACTTGGGTCCCAACGGTCGCCTGTGAAATCGTGAAATGCTGTGAAATCTTGGAGATGTTTTAAATTTATCATAAGCATGATAAAATTTTGATCAAAATGTATTTGCTCATCTCTCCTAAAAATTTGATAATGCCGCCGCAAAAGTTTTTCTTAAATGTGTAAAGAATGATGTGTCTAAACTTGTGATTTATCACTGCATTAATATTTTTTAGATTTGCTTATATGGGGTGTCTGAAAAAAATAATGACTGAGTCAATTAATTTTATTGATTAAATCAAGAATTGCAAAACTGAATACTTTGAAATCTTGCAGACGTTTTAAGGTCAAAATAAATCTGCTTATTTTCCCCAAAGAATTGATGACGTTATCTCAAAATTTTGGCGAATAAATTCTACCCAAAATTTACAAAATGTGATGAGTTTTTACTTGTAATTCATCATAGCATTCATATTTTTTATCGATCAAATTAAGAACGAGTCACCCCATTTTCCGGAAAACGTGAAAATAGAAACGTCTTTGTTTAATAAGAATTATAATGATGATATTTAGAACATTTTGTCGATTGTAGCTTACTAGTTAATTGTTTTGATCCCCTGTTTTGAGGGGACAGACTCATTCAAATCAAACTAATTTCTACGTGACATTCTTCCAATGTATAAACATAAACACTTTCAAGTTGTTTTTCTTATCGGGGATAACCTAAGGACGTACAGTAATGGAGTCCATTGGGCAATTTGTTGCTTTCAAATTTTCTCGATATTTCATAACCCCTAGACAAGGCCGTAGCTAGGGGGTGGCTAGGAGATGCTCCCTTAGATCTAGACAAGTTATAATTATCCAAATGTGAACTACAGCATCCAAAAACCGAATAAAATGTAGTGTTTTATTCAATAAACGGAAGTCAGAGCAATAAAAAAGTCTGGAGCTTCGGTATTGTCATCCGGTTATTCCAATTCGTAGAAAATATGTTTTAGTGTAGCTTGTGTTTTACCATCACGTTTACAGGTTGATAAGTGTTATGGCTATTTGTCTTAAATTACAAGTCCTATACAGGCTGTTCCTTTTATCTGTTCACGCCTGACAATTTTTGCATAGGCAACATATTATACATCCCAGAGACGACTCGTCCAATTTAATTTTTTTTTAATAAGCAGTCATAGCCATCACAAAAAAAATGACAAAGATGTCAGTGCCAAATTATGACAAAATGACATATTAATAAAAGATTAATATACTAGTAAGAACGTATTTCAATTGTTACGGTTTTTGTAGTTACAAAAAGTGAATGCTTATACTGATAAAGTACTAACAGCATTAGCATATACTACTCTTTATTAATATTACCCATTGTCTTACAGTTTCTACTAGTAAAAAATCATGCTTATAGCCTCGCGCTTTAGAGCCCCCCACCCTGCGCGTCTCGGGTTCTAATTTACGCTCGGTCTAGAATGCTTGGCTTCACAACCTTGGTTAATAATATACTATTTGGCATTTTAAAAATTTCGCGTCACCTCTTAAAAGGCCGCGAAACTTTAAGTTTTGGTGATTACAAGAATGTCATATTATAGGACCTGACGCTAACCTTACAAAGAAATATATTGGCGTACTGCATGTTCAAAACAATCGTGAACGCCATATAAGTTCACTTTTAGTTAAATGGAAATTGGTATGATGAATAGATCTAAATGGCAGAAAAAAATTTCGTCATCAGAAGGTCACCATAGGTTCAAAAATGTTTATAAATTGCTAATTCAGGCCGATATTCCGGTATTTCTTATCTATAAGTATACAATAAGATTTCATCCACTGATTTTCATGTGTAGGTAGTAGGTGAACTGAAATATACTTGTATGAAGTAAATTAGTCAGTAGCTCTTAGACTAAAGCAAGAGTGCATGTTGAAAAAGCAATATGTATATAAGGTCGGTACACTAAAAAGATGAGAAACTATAAATAACATACCGAGTTTATGAAACGTTTTGTTGTTGTTTCTTACTCCAACTACATACAAATCTCTGGTTTTATCCATTATTGCCACATTTCTAGAGTTTGGAGGACCCCATTGATCTAAAGCAACTTGTATTACTGCCATTGAGTGTTGGACAACTGATGTCGATTCGGCTGAATTTCGGGTACTGCTTAAGTCAATCACGTGAAGGGCTGAAAATTAAAATAAAATGACTATTTAATTAATGTAAAGAATATATGTACATTTGAAGTCAATAGAATCTCTTACGACTAGTGTATCAGATGATAAACTAATCTGAGACAATCTTAGAAAATCTAATCTCATATTAGGCCATCTTGGAGCCGCAATAAGTCTGCCTTGGTAGTTATATATTCCGATGTTGTTCTTTTCAACTAATAACATATGTCTGTAAAGTAATAACAGATATTTTTGTTTATAGCAATCAAGATTCGGACATATTAATATGCACTTACTTTTCTGCAAGCATCAGTAAAATAACTGAGCCATCTTTTAAATCGAAAATTGCAGGTGTATTCCAGTTGTTAGTATTATATATATAACATTGCGTAGGAGTCGTTACTACCAAGTGTGAATACTTCATTGCTAATTGAATTACTCTTTCAGGTAATTCTAGCTGCTCAACTGTATCATCCGTAACGTTTCTCACGGTTACAATTTTGCGTTCAGTAACTGTCGCAGTAAAATTCATATAATGCACATTTCTTTCCACAATATGAGCAAAAAACACGTGACCATTGGCACAAGCTCCAGCTAGCTGTGTACCATCACCAGACCAAGACATTTTGTAAATGCAACCAGTATTTGGTTTATCAAGAGATCTAGACCACTGAAATTTTACATTATAATAATTTGTAATGCAACATAACAATAAATGTCTAACTCCAGCATAATCACAGAGTCGAATCGTATTGTAAGAACCCACGGCAAATAGATCTCCATTTGGAGCCCATGCAATTGAAGTAATGTGATTGTCATGTAATCCACTTGAATATAATTGTCTCCCTTGACTATCCCAGACTCGATATTGACAATCTTCACCACCGGAAACTATTAATTCTGAAGCCGAACTCCAGGACAGACATAAAATGAGTTCTTCATGGGCCTTCCACTGTAGACATAAAATGGTGTGAAGCAAAGTAAGTATACAGTGCACTGTTTTATAATCACACATAAGACAATAAAGTACTATGTGTAAGCTCACTCAAAAGGGCAGAATTAACATTGTTGCCTAACACTTAAAAACATTAAAATAAAACAATTGAACGTTCAATCAGACTAATTAATTACTGATTATTTACCCTTAAAGGTTTAGTATTTGGAGCTAGTTGTTTTATAACTATAAATTTTCCTTGTGTATAAGCTATGCTTTGACTATCAGGGGCCCAAGAGGCACCGTAAACTGAATTATCGCTTGATACGACTATAGACCTCAACATTCCGCTTCTTGACCATATCTTAACGCAACCATCTTCTCCAGCGGTCAAAAGGCCAGCACCATCATTACCCCATTGCCCCACTAGAACAGCGCCTTTATGCGCGTCAACACTTCTCTCTATTCTGCCAGAGCGATTCATTATATGAAATTTCCCATCAGCTGATGTTATTAATATTAAATCACCGTGTTTTCCCAACGTACTGCTACTTCTGGGTAAAAACTGCATATCGATCGGATACAAGTCCTTGTTGAAATGTGATAATTTTCTGGACTGGTTATTAGAAACTGACCATGATAGCAACTGATTATCATCACTAAAAAGTCGAGAATTTTTGTGACTCTTACCTCGATTTCAGTTGTTATTCTTACCCAGCTGAGTAAACTTCTTCTGTGCTACTCCATCCAACACAAGTAACTGGAGCACTATGTGATGGATTTTTTGCAATGGATATTTTAAATTTCATTTTAGTTAATTTTTAATTATAAATGAATAAAGTACAGAATAATGTTTACTTTACGAACTTCAAGTTATGAAGTGCTACGTTTGCTGCGGGCTGTTTGTAGCGTGGTTGTTATAGCGACCGTCGAGCGGTCCCCTTTATTTCGTTATAATACATGGGACTTAAAAAGTCTTGTTGGTGTTTGTTAGTGACAAATAATAACGCAAAATCTAAATTTTCAAATCATTATTAATTTAATTTTAAAGTAAAATTATTACATCGTATGATTAAGAAATAAGCAATCTTTAACCCTAAGTAATTTTTAAATGAAAATATCAATTTTGGTCTGTCATAACATAACACAGCACTTGGATGACATAAAATAATACTGTAATATAGTTTCACGGTGGTGATACCGTGGTTGTAATTTTTAATAGTATATTATTTGACAAGCGCATAATGTAGCATATTATTCACGAGGATGAAAATTACACACGAGCCGCAGGCGAGTGTGTAAATCATCCGTGTGAATAATAGCCATTATGCGCTAGTTAAATACGACGTTTTATCTACGACTCTAAACAAATTATACACGTTTCACAAATAATAATTTATTTCAGAAACAATAAACAAAACAAATAAGTAATTAATTATTATTATTACTTGTCTTAGCAAGAAAATTAAATGTAAAATGGCCACTGCAGTTTGAAATCTGTATTGGCTTGCCTTTCATGTCAACACTGACATTACTACTGAGGGAATGGGAATTTTTAACAAAATTACTAGTTTCTCTTAAACCACAATTAGTTTCACTTGATGTACATGGGGGAGATGGATTCATCACAACATTATCGCAGTTTACAGCAGCATACTCCTCTATGTTTTCACAGTTTTCTGCCATTACAGGAGCTCGAATTGATGTACATGGTGTTGACGAGGGATTCACCTGTTTAAAAATTTTCTTTGATGTTTCTAGTTTGTATCTCACACTGTTATCTATGTAGCCCTCTGCCACGGAGGAGCTTTTCCATCCTCCGTGGCGTTTTAAATCGGTTATGTCCCCTCCACCATCCACCAATAAAGTAGCCGAGGATCTACGAAAAGAGTGTCCAGTAAATAATTCTGGATTTGGGAGCCCCAAATATGCTGCAACTTCTTTCGGCATACCACCAAATTTATTGATACCTATTCTCTGCATAGTACATTTACCATTCTGGTAATTAAGGGAAAACACATCTGATTGCACTTCAGCTGGACGTAAATCAAGATACTTTTTGCATATTAAATAGTAATCTTCAGTTACTGTGAAAGATCTTCTAATCTTTGTTTTAGTGTTGGGCAGTGTTACCAAAAAAGCTGAATTCAAATCTTTGATGTCTTGAATTCGCATTGAATGCAGTTCTTGAGTCCTACATGCACCCATTATGCCCATTATCAAAGCCACCTTTAAAAAAATAATAAATGAGAACCTACAACATAATTTTGAAACAATAATTTCTTACCTTTGTTGCTAGATATTTTACATCAGGGGCTTCAGTGATGAATTTAGTTATTTGTTGAGGACTAAGCGTTTTCGCTTTCTTTGGCTGGTAATTTTCTCCTTGACGCTTTAAGAATGCTCTTAATTTATGGTACTGTTCTATATTAATGTTATGATTGATGTTGAGAGTACTTCGTAGCATGGAGTAATAAGTCCACAGCGTAGAAATTTTGTATTTACTTGATAAGTCTGCAAAGTATGCTAATATCACCCGTTCGGAAAATGAGGTAATCTTCTTTTCTTGTTTCCACTTCATGAATTGATTGTACGCTATTTTGTACAATTTTTGAGATTTCTCTGGTAACAGGTTAACAGCACCAGCTGCTTCTGCCACTTCGGGAGGTGTGCCAGGAAGATTTTCAGTGTTTTCATCCATTATAACTGATGATAACCTCTTATAAAAACTCACTCGTCGGTAATAAATTTTCGCAAGAAATCAAAATTCAAAACAATACGCACAATGGCGGCTAAGCGTCCGTAGTAGCAGGTGGCAACGTAAACAACGTCAGAGCCATCTACAATCTACAATCGCGAAATACGAATTCCGTTTAGATTGTAAATTTAAATTTTAAATCCTACACAGAATAATAACTGTTAAATATATAACACGTAAAAAACGAATACATACATAGTTTTGACGTTTATATTTTTCTAGAAAAAAAGGAACAGTATTTTAGGACATTTTGAAATAAATCCATTATTCACTAGTGTTTAATATTCATTAAACACTAGTGATTAATATGGGGTATTATGTATCTATAGTTACGTACATAATGCGTCTATTATTAAAGAGTCGTAGATAAAGTACTTTTCGTTATGCTTATAACTAATTACGAATAATTAGAAAAATAAGTTTAAAAAATAAAGTGGTAACGTTGTAAATACCAGTTATTTTAAATTGTAGTATTTAGTAATGTTATTATTGTCAGTTTGTCCATTATTCCGTGTGCTTTCCTAAACATAAATAGACATTTTAATACTATCGTTAGATGCATTTTTATGGTATACGCGAAAAAAAAACGCTTCATCGATGTTAGAAAAATAACTTAGATGTTAATATCGTTATCAAAATACCTTTGTTTGGTAAACAATAGGTTCCACAATTTCATTTTATATATTTAATCGAACAAACTGTCATAAAATAGCGTAGAATTAATTAGCTGGTGATGATCAATTATGTGTGCGTAGCAAACGATGAAAAAGATAGACGACATTGTTGACTAAATGTAAAACAAAATCGTTCCACGATTTTAGTTATTTATCAGCTAATATAGTGTCATACTGTAAATTATTGATGGGAACTAGCTTTGTGGATGTAGGATTATTATAAATGTTTGTTACATCGTAGGTGGCTTAAAAAAAGTTTAGATCTATCGATTTGCCAATTTCCGCTTTTGTTTAAACCACCTACGATGCAAAAAAACATTTATAATAATCCGGTATTTATTCACATTGTCAGTGCATTTTATAAAATCACATACAAACTGCACTTTAAACATAAACTCAAAGTTGAAAAATGATATTTACCATATTATAGACAAGTTATAAATTAATAATTGTATAATAACTTGTATGGGTTATTAAATGTTTTTTTTTTATTTTATTTTAAATTTTAAATTGTTAACTGTTTACAAACAAAGGTTGTATCGAACACAAAGAAAAAATGTTTTTCAAGTGATGCCTCAAATTTATAAATTTTACATTGAATTAATGTAAAGGCTCTTGTGAAAGAGAGTATAGGAGATTTTTATTTCCCGACCGTAAGCAAGGACAGGACAGATTATTGTCAAATTTTACGCTTTGGGTAATTATCCTCACCAATAAATTTTAAATTGTATAAAATATAAATAAGATAGTCTTACACATGTAGTTTATGACTCTGTGTTGAGTTTTTACCCAAAACGTCTACATTTTTGGAAAAAAAAAATCAAAATTACAAATCAACATTTTGCAATTTAATTTTGAATCTGAAAAACCGAATGCTTTGAAATCTTGGATAGATTTTAAAGTTATTATAAATATGGTAAACTTTTTATTAAAAAGTATTTGCTTATTGTCTCCCCTAAATGATGACGACACCTCAAACTTTTGCCGAATAAATCATATCTCAAATGTCCAAAATATGATGAGTCTATACTTGTGATTTTATCGAACCAAAAAATTGATGACGTCGTCTCAAAACTTTGCCTAATAAATTCTACCTAAAATGAGCAAAATATGATGAGTTCTTGTTTGTGATTTATCATTGCATCAATATTTTTTGGATTTGCTTATACAGTTGGCTTAAAAATTTAGCCAGTTTATTTTATTGATTAAATCAGGAACGGCTCACTCCATTTTTCCAAAAAATTTTAGGAATACAATCTGTTATTTCTAATATTACACTTGCACCAATCCAAGTTAATATACGTGTTCTTGCAAAAATGTTGACAACTTTATTACAAAATTGTGTAAACTAAAAACTTATTTGAAACATACGCGTAGCACGCTTCTTTACATTTACTTTAAGATTATATACATATCTTTACTCCAAGTTATATGGGTTCTCATAAAAATAAAATTCGCAACATCAAATTTTATAGTTTTTCGAAAATGCTGAATATATTTCAATGTACTTACCTATAAGAGGGAAGTTCTGTCGAAACAACTTTCGATCAATTTTAATAATAGAAGGTGGACCTCCCGGTGGTTTTTTACCTATCAACTAACATGTTGCGACGTTTTGAAACCTGTATTGCCAGTCAAGGGCAACATTTTCAACATTTCATGTGAAAAGGTAGTACATACCATTCTTGTTCTTATTTTTGTGTTAATAAACAATGTGGAATCGTCAGAGTCAAAAGTCGATCATCACGAAGCATTACCAAAAGTTGGTCTTTCTCAGGACCACCATTTGTTTCTACCACAAATAATCTTTCGCACTGACCTCTACATCGTTTTTATTCGAACGTTTTTCCACCTACTGTTTAAAAGGTGGATCACTGACTTAGTATCGAGGGTGGTTCAAGGGGGTTTTGCTCCATTTGATTTTTAATTTGTTTTTTCTATATTTCCACACTACTACGACACGTGATGCCGTGATTAAAATTATTGCATATATTTCGAAATCACCTGCATAACAAAGTAACAACGAAAGGGTTAGTCCAAAGTACATTAAAAAGTGTACTGGAGAAAGTAGAAAAAATTGGTCGAAGATTGTTTGGACAGAACTTCTCTCGCATCTAAACCACAATGAAACATATCAAGTATTTTCAAAAAACTATAAAATTTCATGTTGCGAATTTAATTTTTTATGAGAATTCGTATAAGTTGAATAAACATATGTATGTAATGTTAAAATAAATATAAAGAAGCGTGCTACGCTATGTTTCAAATGAGTTTTTACTTTACAAAATTTTGTGATGACGTCACCAACATTTTTGCAGAGACACGTACATCAACTTGGATTGGTGCAGTGTAATATCAGTAATAACAGTACTGTATTCCCAAATTTTCTGGAAAAATGGAATAAGCCGTTTCGAATGTACTTAATCAATAAAATAAATGGACTCATTCATTA